TTTTTTTTTTTTTTTTTTTTTTTTTTTTTTTGGTACCAGGAATCAAACTCAGGACCTTGAGCTTGCCAGGCAGGCATTGTGCTGCTGAGCTATTTACCTGGCTCCTGGGACTTTGTTATTTAAATAACATCAGTGGGCTCTGGAGAAGAGGAGTGATCTCAGTGATCTCCAGTTGTTCCACACTGGGCCTGGGTTGACTCACTAGAGTGATTTAGGTGAGGAGAAATATTAATGTGATTTGTGAATTAGATACAGGAAATGGTTGGATATGGGCTTGCATCATCACGATTGTATAACAAAGGCATGTTGGCAGGGGCTAGTGTTTTGCTATCTCTGTAAATTACCTAGCCCTGGAGAGGCAATTCCTCCGTGCATCCCCGAAGCCCCAAGATGACAAAGCATCATAAAATACAGAAGACAGTGTCAGTGTTGGGACTTAGGAGGATGCTGGTATTGGGCCAGACTTTTCCTCCTAAATTAAGCAATTCTTGGCTCTTATGGTGCCAAGCAAGCTCAAAGTATGCCTATTTGAGGATTCAAGTGTAGATAAGCAGAGTATTGTGTAGAGCTGCTCCATTCCTGGTCCTTGATCTGAAAATCAACCCAGCAATAGGTGCATCTTCTTGATCTACTGCCTTATCCCAAAATAAGCTAGATAAATTCTGAATTTGGAACACAGCTGCACAACAGCAATTTATGTGTCAGCACAATGTACTCTGGATGGCCAATTTAGCTATAATTGTGATGGTGTCACAACAAAAGAGACATTGTCAACATGGGAGAACTGGATCGAAGAGATATTTATTCAGGCCTGGTGCAGATGATACATAATGCCTTCATTTAAAACCCCCACGTGTTGCAAAACATTTTCAATTTCATATAAACATTTAAAGGACCATATGTACATAATCTGGTATGAACGACGCTGCAGCTCAACTGGCGGCCCAACTTCCAGGTAAAGTTCCGGCGCGAGGCTGCAGGAAGAGGGAGGGGAACTTCCGGCGGACGCACCCTGCCCTGCTGTCTCCCAGGACCTCATTCGCAGACTTTGTCGATTGCTTCTGTCTGGCTAGTGGCGGGCCCGCTCCGATCGACTGCTCGAGTCTGGCCTCTCCCCGAGCGCGGGAAAATGAATTTCACCCAGCCGGGCGGCCTCAGCTCGCTCCTGGACTCTGAGGATCCTGCTCAGCCTCACGCTCCTCCGGGTTCCACTCGAATCACACGAAATAGGCGGAGGAGCTCGGGTCGCCTCCATGTCCGAGGCTTATTTCCGGGTGGAGTCGGGCGCGCTGGGACCTGAGGAGAACTTTCTCTCCCTGGACGACATCTTGATGTCCCACGAGAAGCTGCCGGTGCGCACGGAGACGCCCATGCCGCGCCTGGGCACCTTCTTCCCGGAGTGGGGCGCGGGCGCCGGGCCGGACCGCGCGCTGCCGCAGGTGGGGCCCGGCCTCGCGCGTTT